TTTTTTTTTTTTTTTTTTTTTTTTTTTTTTGCATTTAACATAGGTAGAGCATTTCTTTAGGTGTGTTTCATTTGAAACATATATCCTTGTCATTATTTCACATAGGGAGTCTCTCATTGGCTTTCTTCTTGTATGCTTAGTTGCTGGATCAATAATCTGTTCCAAATGAGTTTTATTCTATGATATTATTTCTTTCGTTATAGGTTAGTTTTACAGCTTTGATTTGTTTTTCACTTTTGTTGCTTACAGGAATAGATTAATGCTGTGATAATTTTTACGTATTTTTATTTCCCCTCGTTTTGATGTAGCAGCTTTTATGACTTATTGTTTTTGGATTATGAAGTTGCGTACTGTAGTAAGGTTTTTGAAGGGTTTTGTAAAGTTTGGGAACTGTTAATGGAAACATTCCTTTCGTTTCTTATGATAGCAGTTATATTAATTCTTCTTTATGATGCTTTATCATACCTTAATACGGTTTGTTTTGCCAAAGAAATTCTATAAAAATTTTAGTAGTGATCTTGATTTTCTTCTCTGGCTCTTCAAAGCCATCCGCTTTAGCGAATCTGCTTGTAGTTGTTAGAGTCTAAGGCTGTTTGATTTTGCACTTGGCTCAGTTGATTAGAAATTTTGTGTCGGATTCTCTTAATCGTTTTACCAGCAGAGGAATCGACATTTATTTGCCAGTGTTTTACGGCTGTCGTATTTCACACCGTTGAGGTCTAGAAATGTGGAAGTTACGAAGAAGGAGGGGTCGTTTATGTCGTATGTGTTGTACAGTTATATATCACTCGTGATGATTGTAGGTCCGTTAACAGCGCTTAGCTGGGAAGAGAAGGCTGGATAAAAAGTAGATCTGAAACGACTGTGTAGACCTCTTGGCTTCTCCATAGTCCTGTCTCTAGTTGCTGTTATATGCTATTAGCTGGTTTTGTTTGATGCCGATAGATGCATACTGTTATTTAACCTTAGTAGGCTGTTTTTTATTGGCATCCGGGGATACTGTGTAGCGAGAAACAGGGCAAAAAAGTGTTACTGCGTTTTACATATGAGGATTCAGTATAGCCACTTTGGTCGAGTGTTAATTGATGCTTGGTGAGTTCCTGTCATTCCTCTGGAAGATGTGCTCTTCAAAAGTGATAGCTCTACCGAATGTTTGCCTATTTTTGGAAATGAAGAGTTGTAGACGCTTGAGTTGCCATATTCTGTTTGATTTAAATTTGTAATCTATTTTTCTCCTATGGTTACCTTCCTTGCAAACGAAGTTTGGTTATTTGGTGTAAATCTTTGACTTGTAAAAT